AACAATTGGGCTTGATGGTAAAGTTAGGAGTGGAGCAGCTATGTCACTTAAGGCAGCTTGTCCCACTCTCCGATTGGTAGCCTAATTGATTAAACCGCAGCATTTTTTTTACAAGCTGTGTACTCGGTTTCCTTCTTTGTCAAAGACAACTCCATCAAATGTAGCTAAACATATCTCATTCCTTTGCTCTAATGTTAATATTAATGATGGGTCCTTGGCTGCAACAAGACATTGCAATTCCTCTATTGAAGGCTTCATCGTTTAGCCTACTGACATAGGTTAGCATCTGCAGTAGCCTAGTGACTGGCTACAACTGGAGCGAGGCGCAAGAGTGAGCCGACCGAAGGGAAATTACAATGTATGTTTTTATAGATTTTAATTAAGTAAACTATATTAAGCCAAGCCTACACCGTTTTTTATGAAATGCTCCACACATTACATATTTCTGCCCATGAAACTCAGTTTATAACTATTCATGTACTGACAGTTCCTGTGGACAGTTGATCCTGTCCTGAACTTGACTCTAGAACTTGACTCCCATTCCTGCCAGAATCCCGCGGGACTCGCAAGACCCGTGGGAGTCCTGTTTCCATGTCAACCTCTATGCTACGCTACTATGGCAGAGACTTTGATATTACTGGCCGCAATTGATATGGTGAAAACAATGTGTGGAGAGGCAGAGGCACAGAAACTCACATCAATACCTTTGTCAGATAACACTGTTAAACAAATAATTTATGCTATTGCTTGCTATCAAGAGGAAACTCTGACTAAACGACTCAAAAACTCCCCTATGTATGCTCTCCAAATGGACGTTAGCTGTGAGGGCTGAGATGCCCATGCATTGACTTTTGTTTGCAAAACATATCGGGGATACTATTCACGAGGACATGTTGTTCTGTTTCACGATTCCCGAGCATGAAACGGCACAGGGTATGTTCAGTGTGCTGCGTGGCTATATTGACAAAAACAGATTCCATATGCGATTGAATGGTGGGCTTTTGCACAGATGAGGCTCTATCTATCACGGGACGGCGGGGAGGCCTCTGAACTCTAGTTATGAATGCGTCTCCCTCTGCCATATGGATGCATTGTATGATACACCAAGAGCAATTGGCGGCAAAAGATCTGAGCATAGAACTCAAAGAGATATACTGCAGCAGGTAACTTCGATTGTAAACTACATCAAACCACATCCACTGAGCACGCCTGTTCGCAAAACTATGTGGCGATATGGGATCAGATAATTACAGATAATGTTCTATTTCACACCGAGGCTTGGTGGTTATCGACCGTGTGCATTCCCCCCGAATACCTCGATTTGGCGCACGTTTTTTCCAAAACGCAGGCGACCAAATTACCACCTCATCGGGCGTGGATTGCGCGATAAACCTCCGGGTAGACGCTGTGCCTCCCAGGAGTCATGTATATCCCCTGTCACAGGCTGAAACTGAGGCGATGGAGACATACGTCTCCGAGTCCCTGCGCCAGGGGTTCATACGTCCCTCCACTTCGCCCACCTCCTCAAGTTTATTTTTTGTGAAGAAGAAAGACGGAGGTCTGCGCCCATTCATTGATTACCGAGCACTGAACAAGGGGACAATACGTTATAGATATCCTCTACCCCTCATTCCATCTGTGATCGAGTCAATGCATGGGGCGCGCTTCTTCACAAAATTAGATCTCCTGGAGTGCGTACAACCTGATTGTGTGTCCGAGAAGGGGACGAGTGAAAGACAGCATTCAGCACAACCACGGTGCATTACGAATACCTGGTGATGCCTTACGGTTTGATGAATGCTACATTCGTCTTCCAGTCCTTTGTGAACGAGGTGTTTCGGGACATGCTTGGTCGCGGTGTAGTGGTCTACATCGATGACATTCTGGTGTATAGATAGGGATAGGCGCTGTCTCAACGCTCGGGCACGCCACCCAAGCTCCGCCCCTGTGCCTTCTTCTCCAAGAAGCTCAGCCCGGCGGAGCAGAACTACGACGTTGTTGATCAGGAGCTGTTGGCTGTTGTCCGAGCCCTGACAGTGTGGAGGCACTGGCTCGAGGGGGCCAAACACCCTTTCCTCGTCTGGGCGAACCACTGTAACTGGAGTACATCCGGGCAGCGAGGAGGCTGAAACCTCGCCAGGCCAGGTGGGCCCTATTCTTCATCCGGTTTGATTTTATACTATCTTACATCCCGGGTACGAAGAACGTGAAGGCAGACGCACTGTCACGGCTGTACGACACAGAGGAGAGGCCCATAGACAACACCCCCATACTCCCGGCCTCCTGCATTCTGGCGCTGGTAATGTGGGCGATGGACGCGGACATAGAGCGGGCGTTACGCACAGAGCCATCTCCACCTCAGTGTCCAGCTGGGCTGCAGTACGTGCCGTCTCTTGTCCGTGACCGTCTGATCTATTGGGCACACACGTCCCCCTCTTCTGGTCACCCAAGTATCGGTCGTACAGTGCGCTGCCTGACCGGAAAGTACTGGTGGCCTACCTTGGCTAAGGACGTGAGGGTGTATGTCTCCTCCTGCTCGCTGTGCACCCAGAGTAAGGCACCTTCGCACCTCCCAGCGGGTAAGTTACAGCCCTTACCAGTTCCACAACGCAGACGGCCCTGCAGACTGCGGAGGCCCCGTTTACACATGTCTTCCGGCACTACGGGGTGCCAGAGGACATAGTGTCTGACCGGGGTCCCCAGTTCACATCCAGGGTCTGGAAGGCATTCATGGAACGTCTGGGGGTCTCGGTCAGCCTGACCTCTGGTTTTCACCCCGAGTCTAATGGGCAGGTGGAACGGGTGAATCAGGATGTGGGTAGGTTCCTGCGGTCCTACTGCCAGGACCGGCCGGGGGAGTGGTCGGTGTTTTTGCCATGGGCCGAATTTGCCCAGAACTCTCTCCGCCACTCCTCCACTAACCTAACGCCATTTCAATGTGTTTTAGGTTATCAGCCGGTCCTGACACCGAGGCATCAGAGCCAGACTGAGGTTCCTGCGGTGGATGACTGGTTTCGGCGCGCGGAGGAGTCCACCTCCAACGCGCCGTGCCTCGCCAGAAGGCCAACGCTGACCTCCACCGCAGGGAGGCCCCGGTCTTTGTTCCAGGTGATCGGGTCTGACTCTCGACCCGGAATCTGCCCCTCCGCCTGTCCTGCCGGAAGCTGAGCCCGCGGTTTGTGGGGCCGTTCAAAGTCCTGAGGAGAATAAACAAGGTTACTTACAGGTTACTACTCCCTCCTGAATACCGCATTAACCCCTCGTTCCATGTGTCTCTCCTCAGGTTGGTGGTGGCTGGTCCGCTCCAGGAGTCTGAGGTGCGGGAGGTCCCTCCGCCCCCTCTGGACATCGAGGGGGCCCTGGTGTACTCTGTCCATTCCATGCTGGATTCGAGGCGTCGGGCCTTCAGTACCTCGTGGAGTGGGAGGGGTACGGTCCGGAGGAGCGGTGCTGGGTTCCGGTGAGGGATATCCTCGATCCCTCCCTATTGCGGGATTTCCACCGTCACCATCCGGCTCGCCCTGCTCCACGTCCTCCTGGCCGTCCCCGAGGCTGGTGTCGGCGCGCTGCTGGAGCTGCACGTCAAGGGGGAGGTACTTTCACGACTTCCTCCGAAGCGGCCACATCTCCGACTTCCGACTTCTGTGCGTTCAAGACAACTGGGAACTCAGAAAGAAACGAGCTCCGACTGAACGGTCATCATACTCGGAATTCCAACTCGGGAACTCAGGCCTCTTCCTAGAACTCTGACATTCCGAACTAACGTTCACTGATGTCATGTTTTGACCTCGTATTTTTCAGAGTTCCCAGTTGTCTTGAAAGCACCATAAAACTCATGGTAGGCTACCCTTTGCCCGCTTATAGCTGGATTCAGTGCTCTCGTCTGCATTACAACCAAATATCGATCCAGGTTGGATGTGACAGCAGATATGAGGTACGCACTGTCGACCACGCCCCCTGACTTTGAGAAGCTCAGACTCAACATGCATCAAGCCACACCCATCTCATTAGTGCTGGTGAGATAAGAGACATTATGTCAGACTAATTTGCAATTGACTGTCATAGCCCCACATTAAAAGTATGTGATGGTGAGTTGAGAAGACAATCAGAAATACTGTTAGAATGTTTTTCAATTGACTGCCATAACCCCAAATAAAAAGTAAACATTGGCTGTTAATTACATACTTTTTTTCAAATTGATGGGGTCGCGAGAATTTTCAGATGTCAAAATGGGGTGGTCAAAATGGGGTGGTGGGCCAAAAGAGTTTAGGAACCCCTGCTCTAAAGAGTTCCCTTTCACCTGCTACCATGGTTATGCATTATGCTTTTCATAATTGTTTCCATTAGAAGCATTTACATTTGGGCCTGTCCATAGCTAATTCCCTGGAGTGTAATGGGCTACCTGAACTGCACCAGGCTGCTTGCTCTTCTTTGGGTGAAAGGTTAATAAAGAGTTCTGTTCTCAGCAGGGGGAGCTCCTCTCCCATTTACACTGCTCCCGGGTGAAGCTTCCCCTAGGTACAGATCTAGGATCAGCTTTCGCTTCCCCAATCCTAACCTTAAACATTTGTTTGGGAAATGCAAAACTGACCCAAGATCAGCATCTAGGGGCAACATCATCCTACACTATTTACACTCAACAAGGGTTATTATTGGCTACTGGGATCATCTGCAGCAATAGTCCTCCTAATCACGGCCCTGGAGAGCTACAGGCCCAGCACTAACACAGTATGTATCAAGCGTCTCCCAGTAGGAGTGCTGATCTAGGATCGGTTTTGCCTTTTAGATCATAATGAACAAGCTTACATGGACAAGGAGGACCTGATCCCAGATCAGCACTCCTACTCTGAGATGCTTGATACATACAGCCCCTGACTCAACTAATCTTAGTCTTGATGACTGCACAAAACCCTGCTTGTACCTCCAATAGCTCTCTAGGTCCAGCGTTGGTGACTGACCACTGGCCTAAGATCGGAGCTTCTCTATAGTGGTCCTACCTTGGACTGTTCCACTGGGACGTCGGCAGTCTCACGGTACACCACGCTGAAAGAGATGCTCTTGGGCTCCGAGGAGAACACCCAGCTCACGGTAGGCCCGCAATCGACCACGGCGATGGTGATCACACTGTAGCAACTGGACTTGACAAAGAGCTCTCGGGAGCCGTCGCCAAACTGAGAAATGTCTTCGATGCTGAGAGGGACAACCAGCCTGGAAACACAACCAGATAGTAGAGGAAGAGTAGGCATTGATTTGACTGAGATTTCAACTTGAGTTTTCACACAGAATACACTGCCAGTCCTGGCCGGGATTTGGTGTAGTGATTAGGGTAGGTGTAGTGGAAAAAGGAAGTACTGCCAGAGGAAGCTGTAATGGTAGTGCTTTTATTGCCACCATACGTGTGTGTGATTGTGTGTGTGTGCGTGTGTGTGTACAGGTGTGCAAGTGTGTGTGTGCACGCAAGGTTCTAGACTCACGTGACTTCTCCAGACTTGAGAAGGGTGATCTCTGTGTCCTGCACAGTTGGTACATTCTCTTCCTGGTCGTCTTGGGTCACGGCTCCTGTGCATCTGCAGGTCACGGGTCACATGACAAAAGACGGTATTGATTTACGACATAGCTCCTCATAACCACATACAGTGGGGAGAACAAGTATTTGATACACTGCCGATTTTGCAGGATTTCTTACTTACAAAGCATGTAGAGGTCTGTAATTTTTATCATAGGTACACTTCAACTGTTAGAGACGGAATCTAAAACAAAAATCCAGAAAACATTGTATGATTTTTAAGTAATTAATTTGCATTTTATTGCATGACATAAGTATTTGATCACCTACCAACTAGTAAGAATTCAGGCTCTCACAGACCTGTTAGTTTTTCTTTAAGAAGCCCTCCTGTTCTCCACTCATTACCTGTATTAACTGCACCTGTTTGAACTCGTTACCTGTATAAAAGACACCTGTCCACACACTCAATCAAACAGACTCCAACCTCTCCACAATGGCCAAGACCAGAGAGCTGTGTAAGGACATCAGGGATAAAATTGTAGACCTGCACAAGGCTGGAATGGGCTACAGGACAATAGGCAAGCAGCTTGGTGAGAAGGCAACAACTGTTGGCGCAATTATTAGAAAATGGAAGAAGTTCAAGATGACGGTCAATCACCCTCGGTCTGGGGCTCCATGCAAGATCTCACCTCGTGGGGCATCAATGATCATGAGGAAGGTGAGGGATCAGCCCAGAACTACACGGCAGGAACTGGTCAATGACCTGAAGAGAGCTGGGACCACAGTCTCAAAGAAAACCATTAGTAACACACTACGCCGTCATGGATTAAAATCCTGCAGCGCACGCAAGGTCCCCCTGCTCAAGCCACCGCATGTCCAGGCCCGTCTGAAGTTTGCCAATGACCATCTGGATGATCCAGAGGACACGATACGACTGCACCGTATTGAGGGGAGGATGGATGGGGCCATGTATCGCGAGATCTTGGCCAACAACCTCCTTCCCTCAATAAGAGCATTGAAGATGGGTCGTGGCTGGGTCTTCCAGTATGACAACGACCCGAAACACACAGCCAGGGCAACTAAGGAGTGGCTCCGTAAGAAGCATCTCAAGGTCCTGGAGTGGCCTAGCCAGTCTCCAGACCTGAACCCAATAGAAAATCTTTGGAGGGAGCTGAATGTCCGTATTTCCCAGCGACAGCCCCGAAACCTGAAGGATCTGGAGAAGGTCTGTATGGACGAGTGGGCCAAAATCCCTGCTGCAGTGTGTGCAAACCTGGTCAAGACCTACAGGAAACGTATGATCTCTGTAATTGCAAACAAAGGTTTCTGTACCAAATATTAAGTTCTGCTTTTCTGATGTATCAAATACTTATGTCATGCAATAAAATTCAAATGAATTACTTAAAAATCATACAATGTGATTTTCTGGATTTTTGTTTTAGATTCCGTCTCTCACAGTTGAAGTGTACCTATGATAAAAATTACAGACCTCTACATGCTTTGTAAGTAGGAAAACCTGCAAAATCGGCAGTGTATCAAATACTTGTTCTCCCCACTGTATCTACTGTGCCTATTGGCTGATTAATAATATGGGGCTGACCAGAACCGTACCGTGCTGTGCTGGACCATATGTTATGCTTTCACATTGTCCTTTCCAGCACGGTTCTAGTATCTATGGTGGATGTGTAACCTGGCCCAGTACAGCTAGGCTTGGCTCAGCTTGGCTCCGTGATCGACTAGATCACCAGAAGGATACAAAGTGAGACAAATAAAGCTGTAGGTTTCCAAGGTTTCTCAGAGGACTGATGAACGTGAAGGGAGTGACTTATTGACCATGGCTATGGTGAGTCACAAATCGATTTCTGGAATGATCTTGGCTGACATCACTCACTTTGTTCATGGTGAGTTTTTTGATAACAACACACCTTACAGACAAGGGTAAAATCAGGCCGAAGCATCATCTGAGATTAGAATATTCTCCAAAACGGGAGATGATGATATAAGAAATCACACTTATAAATCTGGATGTTTTAAATCGCACCTCTGGATGCATAAATTCACGGTCATTTTCTCTCCCATTGTTAACTCCTGGGTTTCTCCTTGGTCTGCTCATGACTTCCATTTACAATCATTTCAGCAGCGTGTGTTCATATATGGAAGGCAGCAGAGTGTGTGAAGGTCACTCTGAACTTATTGTCATGAAATGAGTGCATGTCTTTCAGAGATCTGAGAGAGAGTTTGTCATGACTCTTTGAGAGAGAGTTTAGCATGACTTTGTCATGACTGTCTGAGAGAGAGTTTGTCATGACTGTACACTTGGACTGTGAATGCTGTGTGTGTGTGTGTGTGTTTTATTTGGCTAGGTATCTGTCCATGTCTGGTTGCACTCACATGTCTAGTGCCCCCGGTGTCCGTGCGTCCTGTTCCCACTCCAGTGAGCCCCCTGTTGTTTGGGACAGCGAGTTGCTGTAGTATGTCCCGTTCACTTCTTCCTCTGTGATGATGTCATAGGCCGCGTCATCAGACTTGGCGCTGGGGTCCGACACTACACAGGAAACAGGACGTCAAACCAGTCATGTACCTGTAACACTTCACTGTAGCCTCTTATGTATGCATTCATAAAGCCTTCATAAGAGCTAAATAAGACATAACAGGAAGTCAAACCTATACCTATTCTATACCAGACAGTCATACATGTTTTACACAGAGAAAAGCCATAGTGATGTTCACATTGTGTGTTTATGTACAACAGATTGTGATCACCAAGGCTTTTCTCTTGCTGTACTTACCAGCCTATCTATTATCCTCATGGGTGAAAGTAGATTTAATTTCTTCCCGGTACGGGGACCTCCTATGTGTTCAAGCACTTCCTTTTTTAAAAATGGACCTAATCATAGAATGACATATAGAGTCCCTATTAATTTAATAGGATCTTTATGGACCTAATCATAGAATTACATATAGAATCCCTATTAATTTAATAGGATCTTTATGGGCCTAATCATAGAATGACATATAGAATCCCTATTAATTTAATAGCATCTTTATGGGCCTAATCATAGAATTACATATAGAATCCCTATTAATTTAATAGGATCTTTATGGGCCTAATCATAGAATGACATATATAATCCCTATTAATTTAATAGCATCTTTATGGGCCTAATCATAGAATGACATATAGAATCCCTATTAATTTAATAGCATCTTTATGGGCCTAATCATAGAATTACATATAGAATCCCTATTAATTTAATAGGATCTTTATGGGCCTAATAGTGAAGATATGTTGTTGAACTTTTAAAATGTATTAGCCTACCGTTTAATGTGGCATAAACATAACCAGTCATGATTTTTTTTTATCTGATTGTCAAACAATTACTTAAAAAGGCTCATGTAGGCTTGCCTGACGAGACAAACTTAATTATTCCGCTGCTCTATGTTTGCTAGATACTTTAGTCTGAGACTGCCATTGTTGAAGTCGTTTGTGGTGACGTCAAAATGAGGGGTGTTGTACAAAACAAAGTAATCAGCGATTGAATCACCTCTAACCAATCAGAGTATCAAAGCCAATGACGGATGTTCAAAACGCTGCTTTATCCACGTGTTCTGGCTCTGTCCCAACCCATCGGATTCTGGGACCATTTAGAACAGTTAGAATGTGTTTGCGTTCTAGAAATCGTCGGCAAGGTACTCAGATCCAGACTCATTGCGGAGAAGAAACTAACGCGTGGCGTAGCGTTTGGCCGGAGCAAGGAGTTTGGGTAGCCAGTCAACGTGTAGGCTACCAGCGCACGTTACTCAGGGACGGCAGAACTAGCAAAGTTGCTATTCCTCAAAAAGGTTCTTGGAAATGTTTTTGCATTATTTCTTATGTTTCTCCTTAAGCAAAAAGTTAAGAAGAAATAAGATTCTTGAAAATAAAGTTATTGGAAATGTTCTTAATTCCAAGACAGCTAAACCCTTGTCTTAAACTCGGGGAAGTGAGAGAATAAGCTAATGAAAGCAATTGAACATGTTTAATTCACTCAGAGACTTTATCTGAAAGTTTCAGTATTGAATATTTTAACATTGATTATGATCTTAAGAAGATAGTTAAGAAGTTAATAAGAAGATATTTGAAAAGTTTGTAAGAAAATCATTACAACTTAAAATATTGTTGAGGAATTGCACTGTATTATTATTTATTTTTATTTTTTGTAAGAAGTGTTTTGTGAATCTGGGCCCAGGTCCCTAAGCACACATTCGCATTCTCTCAAGATGCTGAAATAAATAAATCATATTTCTCCACTGTAGACAAAATTAACATTTGGTCTACAGTCAGTGTCCAGACTTCAGTTACTATTCCAACTATTAGGCTACTCCACTCTAAAATAAAAGTTGTATGAATGACATTCGGTTATTGTCATTCATTAGGCCTACACAAATCTTGTAACCTGAATTGATGCGTACACTGTCGTCCGCGCGTCTCGGTCACTCATCTTTGCCTTGGCAAAATGTCTGCGTTACCGTCGAACCACACCGCATTTTGGAACCTATTCCACAACTTTAAGTCTATTCACTAATTCTTCATGCGACCGACGTGTGGTAATGATAAATAGTGTAATAGCCTTAAGTTTTCTTGGAATCTATGTTTTAATTATTGTGATAGGCTCATGTTTTACCGGTACGGTGTACTCCCACTATTTATTTTGCCGGTTCCGGCTTACTTCCACCCCTGCTTATCTTGTCTGCCAGGTTTCATATGTGTGATGATGATGTATGTCATTGGGATTTGTTGTTATGCTCTGTAACCTTCCACAACAGAAATGCCCTTTATGGACTAGAAAGATTTCTTGAAATGTAATTTCTCTAGTAGTTGTACATTTTGACTTCCCAGTACCATGTTGTGACAAAACAAGACCGATGATTGCCAAGGCAACCTCTGCTGCGGGTTTTGCCATTTTCAATCTTTTTTTAAATGAAAGCAGTAAAGCAGAAGGGAGATTAAGAAATTGAGGTGGCACCCAGTACCTTAACAGTGTTTCCCTTTTTGCTCAGAACAAGGTAAACCCCTAGAATCAATCACATTTATTTACAAAGCCCTTTTTATATCAGCAGATGTCACAAAGTGCTATACAGAAACCCATCCTAAAACCCCAAACAGCAAGCAATGCAGATGTAGAATCACGGTGGCTAGGAAAAACTCCCTAGAAAGGCAGGAACCTAGGAAGAAACCTAGAGAGGAACCAGGCTCTGAGGGGTGCCAGTCCTCTTCTGGCTGTGCCGGGTGGAGTTATATGGTTCCTGTCCTTATTCCGCAGGGTACAGAGGCTCCTTTGTATGTGCGGGTGTGTAAGTGTGCATACTAGAATTGTGTGCGTGTATGCATGTGTGTGTCCATCTACAGTAAGCTACAAAAGTATTGGTAACACATTTTTGGTTGTTAATTTGAGGGTATTTTCATCCATAACAGGTGAACCGTTTAGAAATTACATCACTTTTTGTACATAGTCCCCCCATTTTAGGGGACCAAAGTATTGGGACAAATTCACTTATATGTGTATTTAAGTAGTCAAACGTTTTTTTAGTATTTGGTCCCATATTCCTAGCACACAATGATTACATCAATCTCGTGACTTTACACATTTGTTAGATGCATTTGCTGTTTGTTTTGGTTGTGTTTCAGATTATTTTGTCCCCAATAGAAATGAATGGTAAATAATGTAGTGTGTCATTTTGGAGTCACTTTTATTTTAAATAAGAATATAATATGTTTCTAAACACTTCTACATTAATGTGGATGCTTCCATGATTATGGATAGTCCTGAATTAATTGTGAATAATGATGAGTGCGAAAGTTACAGAGGCATAAATATCATACCCCCCCAAAAAAGCTAACCTCCCGTTATTGTAATGGTGAGAGGTTAGCATGTATTGGGGGTTATGATATTTGTGCGTGTGCATATGTGTGTCCATCTATATCTCACCTTTAACCCTGGGAGTGGGTTTGTAGTGGGCTGGTTCGGGAGGTGAGTGAGGCCCAACTCCGGGGGGAGGTGGCTGGGTGTCGGAGGGGCTCAGCTCACCCTCTGTGAACCTCTCCACCACGGCGCTGTGCTGGGAGTAACAATCCCTGCAGCAACGCTCCTTTTTCCCACTGTGCTTGGTCATCACAAAGTTGTTACTGCAGTAGTAGCAGAAGATGCGTCCACACAGCCTGAAACAAGAAGAGTGTAGCATCGTATCACCCAAAACATGAAACCTCTCAGATTGTCTCAATTCTGGAAACTATTGTATCACAGTTCAAACAAGGTTAGCGATAGAGCGGATCACCTTTTCACTCAACATCAATTCAGAAGTTAAATTCAAATACTGAATTACCAGTCAGACTGTAGTGTTTGGAAGCCACGATACGGAAAAAATGGAAGAGTCAACAAAGCCACTGACTCTCTCTGACATGACCAGGCTGAACAGTCAGCTCTAAAAACAATAAAAGTATTCCCATTACAGCTTCCTGTGAGTACAGCCAGTACTTCCTTTTTCCACTACACCTACCCTGATCACTACACCAAATCCTGGCCAAGACTGGCAGTCTATTGTGTGTGAAAACACAAGTTGAAATCTCAATCAATGCCTACTCTTCCTCTGCTATCTGGTTGTGTTGCTAATAGCTAATAGTGCTTAACATGTTGTCCATTGTTCCCGTAACAAGACATAACAAGGCCATCTAGTGAGTCAGCGCCCTCTCAGTGCCCACCTGCAGTGGTGTCGGCGTAGCCACCAGGTGAAATGGGCCTGGCAGCCCAGGCAGTGGGTGGTCTCCTTGTCCTGTAACAAACGCTCCTCTGTCCACAGCTTCTGCTCAAACTCCAGAGCGTCCGACTTCTGCCACAGAACATCCTTATCCCTGCCGGAGCACATACACACTGTGAATACATTTGGAATGTTTGGATCCAGCATCGAAGTACAAAGGACCCAAAAGATCACATGAAGACATACAAAGACACACACAGGTGGGGGGTTAAGGCGTCAGCATGCTTCAGTTCGGCTGGTGGCTAGCCGAAGTCGGCTAGGCGAACCGAACGAGTGTGCTCGCATACTCCCTTAAAAGACATTCGCTTGAAAAACGCGAAAAAAGCGGCTATAGTACTGTTTGTCCATTTAGAGACGCTGTAGCCAGTATACACAGAATTAATCTAAAATAACTCAAGAAATCTGTCATTAATTTTGACTTTTTGCTGAGGAGATCTTAGTCGCCAAGTTTACATCTAACTAAGATGTTTGGTGCAGTATTTCTCAATGAAAAAATGTGCATGAAAACGAGTTGTCTCTCGTTGAATGACAACAAAGACTTTGCTGAAGAATCCCTACTGTTGACCAATCACAGACGAAGGGGCGTAGAATTCGGCTACCGACATCGGCTTGCCTCAAGAAAAAAAATTGTGTGCCCGAACAACTGAAAAAAACATTAACGCAGTCCAAAACGAACAAAAACATCACAAAATGTCATCATAATATATGCACAAACTCTTCCAGCTGGGAAGCATGTGTCACGCCCTGGCTCGGGGGACTCTCGTATGTTGAGCCAGGGTGTTAGTTTCTATGTTTTGTGTTGTAGGTTGTGGGTCTAGTTTGCTTATTTCTATGTTGGCCTGTGACTCCCAATCAGAGGCAACGAGTGTCAGCTGTCAGCTGGTTGTCTCTGATTGGGAGCCATATTTAAACAGTCGGTTTTTCATTCGTGTTTGTGGGATTTTGTTTCTAGTCTGTTTATGGTAAACCGTGAACTGTCACGTATCGTTTGTTGTTTTGATCGTGTCTCATAATAAATAGTATGTTTGCCTGCAACGCTGCGCCTTGGTCCTCCTCTATTCCCTACGACGAGCGTGACAGAAAATCCCACCACAACTGGACCAAGCAGCGAGTCGAGGAGCCATCGCCAGGGAAATCCCTAGCAGATATCCGTGGCAGCCTCGACTGGGTCAAGCCGAGTGAAGAGCGGAGAGAGTGGACTTGGGAACAATGGAGGAAGAGCTTTGACTGGGTCAAGCCAATTGAGGAGCTGAATAGCGGGAGTTGGAGGCAGAAGAGCGAGAGTTGGGCGAGAACTATAGAGGCATGGCCCACGGGGAGGGAGACCCCCAGAAAATTTTTAGGGGGGGGGCTCACGACGTCGGGGCAGCAGGAGGCCGCGATAGAGCGGTCCAGCGGGTTGGCAGAGGAGGCCGCCAGGTTACGGGGGCCACTGGCCGAAGAGGGGGTGGAAGATGTAGAGGCACGGCGAGAGGTACTGGCGTGTGTTGCCAGTCCGGTCCGGCCCGTTCCAGATCCCGGTGTAGGGCCAGTGGTGTGTGTCCCCAGTACGGTCCGGTCCATTCCTGCTCCCCGCACCAAGTCTGTGGTGCGTTTCGTCAGCCCGGCTCGGCCCATTCCTGCTCCCCGCACCAAGTCTGTGGTGCGTTTCGTCAGCCCTGTCCGGCCCGTTCCTGCTCTCCGCACCAAGTCTGTGGTGCGCGTCGCCAGCTCAGTCCGGCCCATTCCTGCTCCCCGCACCAAGTCTGTGGTGCGTTTCGTCAGCCCTGTCCGGCCCGCTCCTGCTCCCCACACCAAGCCAGTGGTGTGCGTCGTCAGTCCAGCACGGCCCGTGCCTGTTCCCCACACCAAGCCAGTGGTGTGCGTCGTCGGTCCGGCACGGCCCGTGCCTGTTCCACTGGTGCCTGGTCCGGCACCGGTCAGATGCGTTACGCCGGAGCTAGAGCAATCCGCTCCACCAGTGTGCAGTCCAGCTCCGGTCAGCAGGGCCAGACCGGACCAGGGGAACTTTGGGGGGTTAGAGAGCGAGTGGGGATCATGCCCGGAGCCGGATCCGCCGCCTAGGCGGAGTGCCCACCCGGTCCCTCCCCTGTTGTGTTTGGTTGGCGCGGTCGGAGTCCGCGCCTTTAGGGGGGGGTACTGTCACGCCCTGGCTTGGGGGACTCTCATATGTTGAGCCAGGGTGTTAGTTTCTATGTTTTGTGTTGTAGGTTGTGGGTCTAGTTTGCTTATTTCTATGTTGGCCTGTGACTCCCAATCAGAGGCAACGAGTGTCAGCTGTCAGCTGGTTGTCTCTGATTGTGAGCCATATTTAAACAGTCGGTTTTTCATTCGTGTTTGTGGGATTTTGTTTCTAGTCTGTTTATGGTAAACCGTGAACTGTCACGTATCGTTTGTTATTTTGATCGTGTCTCATAATAAATAGTATGTTTGCCTGCAACGCTGCGCCTTGGTCCTCCTCTATTCCCTACGACGAGCGTGACAGCATGCGGATGCCTTTAGAGTGCAGGACCTGCTGCCAAAAAGAACATGATTATATCAGTCTGGTTGTTCCACTCTGATCATCAGGCAATTATCTGCTCAGTTAGGTTTGTTCAGGCATGGTTTCTTGTCCTAATTAATTAATTAATTAATTAATTAATTGTCCTAATCTAACTTAACATGCACTTCCAACGACCCCGTTCTGATGTATGTCTCTCTGCCAATGAGCAGTTGGAATATAAAAAAATGAAGGAGTAAATGAAGATAAACAAAAGAGATTGAAGGGAATTAAGGACACCCCAGGGAGCGGCCATTGTGTTTTATTCCCTACTGGGATGAGAGCTATGCAAATGGAAGATTCACACACAGAGAGAGACACACACACACACACACACAGAGAGAGACACAAAAACACAGAGAGACACACACACACACACACAGAGACACACACACAGAGAGACACACACACACTCACAGAGAGAGACACACACAGAGAGAGATACACACACAGAGAGAGATACACACACAGAGAGAGACACACACAGAAACACAGACACAGACAGAGAGAGAGAGAGAGAGAGAGAGAGAGAGAGAGAGAGAGACAGAGAGAGAGAGAGAGCGAGAGAGAGAGCTGTCGCTTTCTGTTCTTTCCTCTCCTCCTTCATATCCCCCTCTCGCTGTCTTCCTCCTTCATATCCCCCTCTCGCTGTCTTCCTCCTTCATATCCCCCTCTCGCTGTCTTCCTCCTTCATATCCCTCTCGCTGTCTTCCTCCTTCATATCCCCCTCTTGCTGTCTTCCTCCTTCATATCCCCCTCTCACTGTCTTCCTCCTTCATATCCCCCTCTCACTGTCTTCCTCCCTCATATCCCCCTCTCGCTGTCTTCCTCCTTCATATCCCCCTCTCGCTGTCTTCCTCCTTCATATCCCCCTCTCGCTGTCTTCCTCCTTCATATCCCCTTCTCGCTCTCTTCCTCCTTCATATCCCCCTCTTGCTGTCTTCCTCCTTCATATCCCCCTCTCGCTGTCTTCCTCCTTGATATCCCCCTCTCACTGTCTTCCTCCTTCATATCCCTCTCACTGTCTTCCTCCTTCATATCCCCCTCTCACTGTCTTCCTCCTTGATATCCCCCTCTCACTGTCTTCCTCCTTCATATCCCTCTCACTGTCTTCCTCCTTCATATCCCCCTCTCACTGTCTTCCTCCTTGATATCCCCCTCTCACTGTCTTCCTCCTTCATATCCCCCTCTCACTGTCTTCCTCCTTCATATCCCCCCTCTCACTGTCTTCCTCCTTCATATCCCCCTCTCACTGTCTTCCTCCTTGATATCCCCCTCTCACTGTCTTCCTCCTTCATATCCCCCTCTCACTGTCTTCCTCCTTCATATCCCCCTCTCACTGTCTTCCTCCTTCATATCCCCCTCTCACTGTCTTCCTCCTTGATATCCCCCTCTCGCTGTCTTCCTCTTTGATATCTTGGACTCTTTCTGAATTCCGAATGGACTACTCCTTGGCAAAGATCTGAAAGAATCGGATATGTATAAGATATATAGCAATTCTTTCATCTTGCCCTCTGGTAGTCTAGATGCCCATTTTGCCATATTGGATACACCTAACCAATCATTTCACACCTACAGAAGTGCCTAGGGGTTGATTTGAAATTCAGAAGCGGTCTCTCTTAGTCTCCAAACAACTTCTTTATTTTTCACCCACCTCTGTGTCATTCACCTACATCCTTTTCCACAATCCACCTCTTTTCCTTTCCCTCCCTCCCTCCTTTTCATCAGATGAGATTGTCAGTGGTGAGATGGCATTACAAAGACCGACACTGTGCTCGCTATGGGAGAGCATCCTCAGAGGACACACTCCCCACAGGACTCAGCCAAGAGGGTAGAACCAGAAATACCTTGCTATCTGATCACCCAAACGAAGGTAGAAAACAACATCAACACCCTTTCCAGTTTCTAAACAAAAGCCCATCCCAGATCTACTGATCAAAGGTTCAGCTGTCGCTTTGTGTTTTTCTACCCGCGCTCAGGACAGTGCAGAGGAGGTACTAGATCGTACTTTATAAGTTCGATGAGGCGCTCCTCCAGGGTGCTCTTGGTTCGGTAGAGGTCGTCGATCTCTGCGGTCGTCCTGAGGTAATAACTACGTTTGTCCACCTCGGCCTGCTCCAGTTTCTGCTTTAGCTCCTCACACACCGCCTGGACCGTGGAGAGAGCCTCCTCAGCACTAAATGACAGAGAGATAAGGGAGAGAGAAATATGAAAGTAAAAGGCTCTGCATGGTCAATCCATCATCTGCAGCGTTTACTGCGATGCGGACTCCACAGAAGGCAGAGCATCCATACTTCTTGCGCTTCGCGGAGCAGAGCCGAGCTGTTGTCAAGGAAGCTAGTTTGTATTTATACAGGACCTCCCGCCCCCACCTACCGTCTTCCCAATCATGTCAATGCGGAGCTATACGGAGCCCTCCGCATTGTTACAAAATTTGAGAGGCACACAGCGATGCGGTACGGAGCTCGATTTGGCCTTTGCAAGCCTCCGGAGGCTCCACAGTGCATTACAATCTCTGTACGGAGCCTCCGGATAGCATTTCTGGAATAAGCATAAATTGGCTTTAACTGTCCACTGAACATTTGTAAAAGGTAATATTCTGTTAACTCATCCCAAATAATGTTGTTGACTCATCCTAAACTTGTATTTGTGGCCAAAACATAAATTGGAGAAAAAACACTTCAAAAACCCCACCTCAAATTTGTATCTCAAAAAGACTGTTTAAAAAATGCTTGCTATTTCCTCATAGAACATGATATCATGTTGGCTCATTGGCAGAGCTGGCCAATCAGCGGTCTACTCGCATTAATATTTTGAATGACCGGTATACGCCCACACCATTTTGTTATTGTGGTACGTCCACACAATTCCAACACATAAAAGCTGTTTTTTAACATACTTAATAAAAACGATTTGGAAGAAAAACGATTTCACTCATATTATAATTAATTATAGTTCATAATTCATAGAAAACTGGAAATACTGGACAGTTAATTTAAGAGAATGGAAGAGGGAGTGTGTACGATTACATGGTTTTGACTGCATCATCTCTGACTTGTCCACTCACATAAGAGAATAGTAGACAGAATTGTCTTGTCCATTCTGTATGATGCGTTTAAACATATATATCTTAAAGACAGGGGCTACTTAGTTCATCTAAATGGAGAGGTTGTTTTCTGTTTGGGGTATAATAGGTCAACGGCGGGGTTATAGCCTTACCTGGTGACAGAGTCTCTCAGGTGCTGAATCTCTCCCTCACTCTGACGAATGGCGGATTCCGACTTTGTGATGTGAGCATCCTTCTCTCCAATCAGCCGTGAGTACTCCTCATTCACCCCCTTCATCACATATAATCATAACATGCAGTAGTTTAAAAAAAAAGAACAAACAACCTTTCAGAAACAGGTGAACTTTTTACCCTTTTATTCGACCGTCTCCATTCTTTATAGTGTTTGATCGGTTGATAAATGAATATAGACCAAGGATTAAGAAGTCTACAGAGGAGCGATGCTTTGTAAATGAACGGCCTATCTCTCTCCTTCTTCACTCAATTATCATAGCAAAGTATTACAGTACAGGCAGATGAATTACAACGTGTCACATCCTCTCTAGGAGAGGAAGGAGATTAAGACCTCTGTTTTATCAAACTCGGTTGATGAACACTGGGCTCTAATCTGTGTCGTATGAATTAACCCAGTCAAGTGTGTACAGGCCTGCTCTTCTCGCCCTCTCTCTCATATTCATTTATTTGCCCCTTTGGCCTCCCTCATATTTATTCCTAGGTATCTCTAATGAAAACGTAAAAAGGTACGCCAGAGCAGACAGGCTGGATGTGACACATCTCACTTTGGCATCTCCCCATTTATTTCATCATCTTACAGATTCTTATCACTGCTTCTTTACTTTCAGCTATTTAAATGGCAGCTATTTAAATGGCAGCTATTTCAATGGCAGCTATTTCAATTGGGTCTAGAGACAGTGCTGAACAGACATGCCATTTAGCCAATTATTTTTTCCGGTGCCAGTGTATCCCAAAGTGTTCTACTGTATGTATCTTGATTTTGATTTCTTAGGATCCCCATTAGCCGACGCCAATGGCGACAGCTAGTCTTACTGGGGTCCGACACATAACGAAAAATACATTACAGACAAAAGACATTACAGACAAGGGATTGAAGACTGTGTCTATTATATTGTACTCTTGTCATACAGTGCATTCGGAAAGTATCCTTTGACTTTTTCCATATTTTGTTACGTTACAGCCTTATTCTAAAATGGATTAAATTATAAAAATTCCTCATCAATCTACACACAATACCCCGTAATGACAAGTGAAAACAGGTTCTAAGAAATTTTTGCAAATGTATTACCAATGAAATACCTTATATACAGAACCTTTGCTATGAGACTCGAAATTGAGTTCAGGTGCATCCTGTTTCCATTGATCATACTTGAGAAGTTTCTACAACTTGATTGGAGTCCACCTGTGGTAAATTCAATTGATTGGACATGATTTGGAAAGGCACACACCTGTCTATATAAGGTCCCACAGTTGACAGTGCATGTCAGAGCAAAAACCAAGCCATGAGGTCAAAGGATTGTGTCAAGGCACAGATCTGGGGAAGGGTACCAAAAAATGTCTGCAGCATTGAAGGTCCCCAAGAACACAGTGGCCTCCATCATTTTTAAATGGAAGAAGTTTGGAACCACCAAGACTCTTCCTAGAGCTGGCTGCCCGGCCAAACTGAACAATCAGGGGAGAAGGGCCTTCGTCAGGGAGGTGACCAAGAACCTGATGGTCACTCTGGCAGAGCTCCAGAGTTCCTCTGTGGAGATGGAGGAAACTTCCAGAAGGACAACCATCTCTGCAGCACTCCACCAATCAGGCCTTTATGGTAGAGTGGCCAGACGGAAGCCACTCCTCAGTAAAAGGCACATGACAGCCCGCTTGGAGTTTGCCAAAAGGCACCTAAAGACTCTCAGACCATGAGAAACAAGATTCTCTGGTCTGATGAAACTAAGATTAAACTCTTTGGTCTGAATGCCAAGCGTCACGTCCAGAGGAAACCTTGCACCATCCCTACGGTGAAGCATGGTGGTGGCAGCATCATGCTGTGGGGATGTTTTTCAGCGGCAGGGACTGGGAGACTTGTCAAGATCGAGGGAAAGATTAACCGAGCAAAGTACAGAGAGAACCTTGATGAAAACCTGCTCCAAAGCGCTCAGGAGCTCAGACTGGGGCGAAGGTTCACCTTCCAACAGGACAACGACCCTAAGCACACAGCCAAGACAACACAGGAGTGCCTTCGGGACAAGTCTCTGAATGTCCTTGAGTGGCCCAGCCAGAGCCCGGACTTCAACCCGGTCGAACATTACTGGAGTGACCTGAAAATTGCTGTGCAGCGACGCTCCCCATCCAACCTGACAGAGCTTGAGAGAATCTGCAGAGAAGAATGGGAGAAACTCCCCAAATACAGATGTGCCAAGCTTGTAGCGTCATACCCAAGAAGACTCAAGGCTGTAATCGCTGCCAAAGGTGCTTCAACAAAGTACTGAGTAAAGGGTCTGAATACTTATGTAAATGTGATATTTCTGTTTTTTATTTGTAATACATTTGAAAAAAATTGTTAACCTGTTTTTGCTTTGTCATTATGGAGTATTGTGTGTAGATTGATGAAGGGAAAACAAACAATTTAATACATTTTAGAATAAGGCTGTAACGTAACAAAATGTGGAAAAAGTCAAGGGGTCTGAATACTTTCCGAATGCACTGTATGTGAATAATGTGAAGATACAGACCTCTAACTCTGAGACTTTGGCCTCCAGACCGGACACCTTCTCCTGCTCTTTTGGCAGCTGGACTCTCAGTTTCCCCAGCTCATCATTCACACTCTGGACAGAGAGCAAAACACACGTGTTCAAATGGTGCCAAGTGGTCTGTCTGATTATCACATTGCTCTTAATGCTGCTTTTCGACTGTAACACCAGTGTTACACTAGTGTATACACCATTATGTTATACTAAGGAAATTGTGTTTCCATAGCTAGGGCTGACAGTGAGGACTTGTGAAGAGCAATCAAAACAGTTGCTTTGTGACGAGGTGTTAAAGTCCACAGTTATCCATTGTTATTTAAATGTCCGCTGAAAAGTACCAGTGGCATGGCTTTGGCCCCAAGTGAGAGCAGGTCCGCCTGAGCCATGGCCCAGTGAGACACTGGTGCCGGCCCGCACAGATGGAAACAGAAGTCTGAGACTTTTGGGTAAAACACTGGGGTAAATCCTGTATGGAAATACGGCATAAACTGCCCTTTCATGTGGTGCCGTAATTATATGATTTTGCTACAGTCCGTGTTTCCCCCACGGCCAGGCTTTTCACAGAACTCCAGTCAAACTCACCTTGATCTGGTTCTGATGATTCATGCTCTCGGAGCTCATCTGGAACTTGACCGCCTCCATTTCCTCCTGACTGGAGTCTTTGAGGCTCCTCACCTGGCCCTCCGCCTTCTCCAGCTTCTCTTGGAGCTCCAGCATGGCTGCCGGAAGGTTCTCCATCATCCTCAGCTCCTCTCTCAGGCTGGCATTCTCCTGGCGAAGGGTGGCCATGCTGGCCTCCAGCCGCTCCACCTCCCTGGACGTCCGCTCCTCTAGCTCCCCTATCCTGCCTGCTTCCCCCGCCCAGCCTTCCTTGGCCTCCTCCCTTTCTGCTGTCAGTCTACAGATGGTCATCCCAAGCTCTGCCATCTCTGTATTGGCCCGGTGGAGGCCCTCGCGTGTCTCAACATTCTCCATGGCCAGCCTCTCGTTCTGGGCCTTGAGTGTGGCCAGCTCTCCCCTGGCGGAGGCCTCAGCGGCAGCCAATTCTGTCCGGGTGGCTGCCTCCACCCGGTCACGCTCCCTGCTCAGAGCCTCTTCCCTCTCATTACACTGCAGGAGCTCGGCTACGTGCCTCTGGTTGAGTGCCTCGGTCTGGGCTTTAAGCTGCTCTGTTAGGGTCCTGAGTTCGTCTCTCTGGGCCTCCGTCACCTCCAGCTGGGCCTGGCTCCTCATCCTGTCCTCCGCAGAGGTGTTCAGCTGCACCCTCAGATCCAGCACTTCCGCCTGGAGCCTGATCACTTCCTTCATGTTCACCTCCAGCTGGCCCTCCACCATGGTCAGTTTGGCGGCTATCTCCTGGCTCTCCTTGGCCTGGGCAGAGCTCCTCTCTAGCTGGGTTCTCTCCACCGTCTGCTTCTCGGTGGTGAACCTCTCTATCAGCTTTGTCTTTTTGGCACAGGCCTTTTCTGCATCTGCCTTAGCCTTCTCCAGTGCCCTTCCCCTGGCCTCTAGGGCCTCCACCCTGGCCTGGAGCTCTACACAGCCCTTTTCCTGGTTCTCTAGCTGGCCCTCCCGGTCTTTGAGCTGCTCCTTCAGGCTGGCCTCACTCCTGCGGGACCGACCCAAGCTCTTCTCCAGCTCTCCGATCTGCCCGTGGATGGCCTTCAGCTCCTCCTGCATTGAGCTCAGGGCCGCCCTTACTGTGGCCTGCTCCTCCCTCAGGCCTTGGTTCTCCTGCTCCAGCCGTTTGCCGGCGGCGTCAGAAACCTCTGCAGCCATGGCTGCCCTCTGCAGACTCTCATCCAAGGCCCGGTTCTCTTCACGCAGCCTCCAGTCTTTCTCATCCACAGTCACTTTGGCGTCGTCCAGCTGGCCCCTCAGCTGCTTGTCAGAGGCCCTCAGTGCAGCCACCTCGCCCTCAAGGGCTGCCCGGCTCTCCGCCAGCTCCTTCTTCAGCTCCTCATTCCTCTTCACTGTGCCCAGCAACTTCCCATTCAGCTCCATCAGGTTGGTGCACTGGGTCTTGTACTCCTCGATCCTATTGGCCTGCTCCCTGACGCTGGCCTCCAGTTCGGAGAGGTTGGCACTCAGGCCGTCCCGCTCTGTGGTCAGGCTACGGCTCTGGACCTCCAGGTGCTGGAGCCTCTGGGTGCTGGAGAGCAGCTCCACCTCTCTGCTCTTCAACTGCTCCTTCAGGTAGAGGAGTTCCACCTCCAAGGCTTCTTTCAGATTGCCCATGCTTCCCTGGATCTCCTCTTTCTCCTCCTGCGCCCTGTCCCTGGCCTCCTCGGCCTGTATCCCCTTCACTTCCAGAGCACTCTGGAGGTCATGCAGCTGCCTCTGCAGGTTGATGGCCTCCTTCTCCCTCAAAGTTAACGCCCCCTGCAGCTTGTCAATGGCGTTACACTGCTCCTCTGCACACTCTGCGAACTTAGACTTCTCCTCTGCAGCAGACTTTGACAGCGCCTCCAGCTTGGCCTCATCCTCCTTTGCTGCCACCTCCTTGACCCTTAGCTCATTTGCCAGCTTTTCGGCCTGCCTCCTCCTGTCCTCTCCCTCTGCCAGAGCCACTATCTTCCCACCCTCTGCCTCCTTCACTCTGTCCAGCAGCTCGTGGATCTTCTGTGCTGAGTCAAAATAGCTGGTCGCCTGCTGGCCCTTCTCATCCAACACACCATCCAGCTTGGCCATTAGTTCTACGTTCCTCCCCTCTGCGGCCATCAGCTTCTCCTGGAGGTGGCGCTGTTCTGCTTCCCTGGCCCTCTCCCCAGCCCTCAGGGTCTCCAGCTCGCAGGACAAGGCCTCCTCCCGCCTCTCCAGGGCTTTCAGGGTGCCTTGCATACCCTGCTGTTCCTCCTGTGCGGTCAGCGACACGTCCAGCTGCCTCTGGAGCTCCACCACCATGCCCTTGAGCTCGGCACCCTCCTCTCCCATCTGCCGCACCCTGTCCTGGAGCTCCCGCTGCTTCAGCTCTGACTGGTCCAGCTCCAGGCGGAGCTCTTCCAACATGCTCACCTCCACGCCAGAAGGCAGCGACTCGTTCAGCTCGCTCAGCATGCCCGGGCCGTACTCAGGACTGCCGGGGAACTCATGAGCCTGCTGGGATCAGGGTATTACAGTGAGTACTGCAGACTTGACACATTGTTAAGACTTGACTAGAAATACTGTATGATCTGACAAGATATGACTAGTTCATAATAGAACCATATTAGTCCCAGTAGAGTAAACGCTCAGAGGAGGAAGGCGGGCTGTGTCAGTACCTGTGAGTAGGTGCTGGCCAGGCTGTTAATGCTGGAGCTGCGACTGGGTGGTTTCCACATGTGGCCAGGTGAGTTGGGCATGCCCAGTGTCCTCCTGGAGATCAGAAAACACACATGTGATGTGACATCACCAAGTGTCTACATTTGATCAATTCCTCAATCCAACACACAGCATCTTGAGTATGGGGTGCATTTATAAACAGAATGCCTTTGCGATTGGTTACCTTGCAAAGGTGGGCCAGGACGAGTCAAGGTCATGACCCCTGGAAGCCACATCAAACTGGACATCATTGAGCTCATACAGGTGACTTATGATGTCAACACTGAGGTGGGATTTCAGCAAGGGGCTGCGAGCATAGTACCAGTCACTGCAGGGAGAGGGAGAGAAGCATATAGACAGGGGAAGGAGAAGAGAGATAGGTATAACACATTCACATAGAAATACCTTCACTAACATACTTAGATTGTTCGTTATATTAAATCACCTCGACACTTACAAAAAGTACAAATATGGACTAATGGACATGCCTTTTACAAACACACAGATACATTTCACAAGTGTTTATTTTATTTTTATTTAATTTATTTATTTCACCTTTATTTAACCAGGTAAGCCAGTTGAGAACAAGTTCTCTGTCACGATCGTCTGAAGGAGGAGACCAATGCGCAGCGTTGCGAGTGAACATGATGACTTTATTAATAAAGCAACCACGAAGAAAACAACAAATGACGATACGTGAAGTTCAAAAATACTGAAACACACTAACAGCAACACAGAAACAATAACCCACAAAACAAAGGAGAAAACACACAGAATATATATGGCTCCCAATCAGAGATAACGAGCCGACAGCTGACACTCGTTACCTCCGATTGGGAGTCACAGACCAATCACCATAGACACAAACAAAATGAAACTCACCCATCCCCAACACCACCAAATGAAATACACCCAAACACATGAAAATGAACAACCCTGGCTCAATTCTCAAAGTCCATAGAGCCAGAGTGTCACAGTACCCCCCCCCTAAAGGTGCGAACTCCGGGCGCACCAACATCAGGACTAGGGGAGGGTCTGGGTGGGCGTCTGTCCATGGTGGCGGCTCTGGCCCCGGTCGTGATCCCCACCCCACCACAGTCACAACCTGCTTCGGTAGCCTCCTCCCAATGACCACCCTCCAACTAACCCCACCTGGACTAAGGGGCAACACCGGACTAAGGGGCAGCATCGGCCTAAGGGGCAGCACCGGGATAAGGGGCAGCACCGGGATAAGGGGCAGCACCGGGCTAAGGGACAGCACCGGACTAAGGGGCTGCACCGGACTACGGGGCAGTACCGGACTAAAGGGCAGTACAGGACTAAGGGGCAGCACCGGGCTAAGGGGCGGCACCGGACTCAGGGGCAGCACCGGGCTAAAGGGCAGCACCGGACTAAGGGGCAGCACCGGGCTAAGGGGCATCACCTGACTAGATGGCGGATCCTGGCTGGCTGGCTCTGGCGGATCCTGGCGGGACGGCTCTGGCGGATCCTGGCGGGACGGCTCTGGCGGATCCTGGCGGGACGGCTCTGGCGGATCCTGGCTGGACGGCTCTGGCGGATCCTGGCTGGACGGCTCTGGCGGATCCTGGCTGGACGGCTCTGGCGGATCCTGGCTGGACGGCTCTGGCGGATCCTGGCGGGACGGCTCTGGCGGATCCTGGCGGGACGGCTCTGGCGGATCCTGGCGGGACGGCTCTGGCGGATCCAGGCTGGACGGCTCTGGCGGACCCTGGCTGGACGGCTCTGGCGGACCCTGGCTGGACGGCTCTGGCGGATCCTGGCTGGACGGCTCTGGCGGATCCTGGCTGGACGGCTCTGGCGGATCCTGGCTGGACGGCTCTGGCGGATCCTGGCTGGACGGCTCTGGCGGATCCTGGCTGGACGGCTCTGGCGGATCCTGGCTGGACGGCTCTGGCGGATCCTGGCTGGCTGACGGATCTGGCTGCTCATGGCTGGCTGACGGATCTGGCTGCTCATGGCTGGCTGACGGATCTGGCTGCTCATGGCTGGCTGACGGATCTGACTGCTCATGGCTGGCTGAAGGATCTGGCTGCTCATGGCTGGCTGACGGATCTGGCTGCTCATGGCTGGCTGACGGATCTGGCTGCTCATGGCTGGCTGACGGATCTGGCTGCTCATGGCTGGCTGACGGATCTGGCTGCTCATGGCTGGCTGACGGATCTGGCTGCTCATGGCTGGCTGACGGATCTGGCTGCTCATGGCTGGCTGACGGATCTGGCTGCTCATGGCTGGCTGACGGATCTGGCTGCTCATGGCTGGCTGACGGGTCTGGCTGCTCATGGCTGGCTGACGGGTCTGGCTGCTCATGGCTGGCTGACGGATCTGGCTGCTCATGGCTGGCTGACGGATCTGGCTGCCCATGGCTGGCTGACGGATCTGGCTGCTCATGGCTGGCTGACGGATCTGGCTGCTCATGGCTGGCTGACGGATCTGGCTGCTCATGGCTGGCTGACGGGTCTGGCTGCTCATGGCTGGCTGACGGATCTGGCTGCTCATGGCTGGCTGACGGGTCTGGCTGCTCATGGCTGGCTGACGGATCTGGCTGCTCATGGCTGGCTGACGGATCTGGCTGCTCATAGCTGGCTGATGGTGCTGGCTGGGAGACTGGCGGTGGAGGCGGACCCCAGCCTCGGATTGCAGTCAACATCTCCAGCAGGGCGGCTCCCATCTGCAGGAGCTGCTCTTCCTGGTCCCGAACCCGAGCTTCCAGTCTAGTATGGGCTGCGTCGGCTCCTGCTGATTCCATAGCAGATGTATGATTCTGTCTGGCGGAAGGCTCTAGCGGCTCCTGTCTGGCGGAAGGCTCTGAAGGCTCATGGCAGACGGACGGCTTTGCAGGCTCAGTACAGACGGGCGGCTTATGCAGCGCTTGGCAAACGGGCAGTTCAGACGCCATAGGGCCGACGGGCAGTTCAGGCGCCGTTGGGCAGACGGCAGACTCTGGCCGACTGGTAACGCACCCCGTAGGATTCGTGCGTGGAGCAGGAACAGGCCGGGCTGGGCTGGCGACGCGCACCTTATCCCTGGTGCGAGTGGCCGGAACAGGCCGGGCCGGGCTGGCGACGCACATCGTGGACCTGGTGCGTGGAGTAGGAACAGACCGGTCCGTACCGGGAACACCCACCACTGGCCTTAACTGGGGATCAAGAACGGACCGGACCAGACTGGGAACACACTTCAGTCTCTCATGCCGTGCCACAACAACTTCCCTCCCTCTACTCGCCAATGGCTCCCGTAATCCGATAGCCTTTTCTCCAGCTCTACCTGTGGCAGCCTCCTGCTGCCCAGCTGCCCAAGCCATGTGCCCCCCCCCAAAAATTTCTTGGGGTTGCCTCTCTTCCACGGGCTTCCAGCCTCGCCTTCGCGCTGCCTCCTCGTACCACCTCCTCTCGGCTTTGGCTGCCTCCAGCTCTTCACGAGGGAGGCGATATTCTCCCGGTTGTGCCCAAGGATCCTTTCCGTCCAATAACTCTTCCCATGTCCAGACCCTCGGCTCCTGGACACGCTTGTTACGCTGCTTGGTCCTTTTGGGGTGGGTTATTCTGTCACGATCGTCTGAAGGAGGAGACCAATGCGCAGCGTTGCGAGTGAACATGATGACTTTATTAATAAAGCAACCACGAAGAAAACAACAAATGACGATACGTGAAGTTCAAAAATACTGAAACACACTAACAGCAACACAGAAACAATAACCCACAAAACAAAGGAGAAAACACACAGAATATATATGGCTCCCAATCAGAGATAACGAGCCGACAGCTGACACTCGTTACCTCCGATTGGGAGTCACAGACCAATCACCATAGACACAAACAAAATGAAACTCACCCATCCCCAACACCACCAAATGAAATACACCCAAACACATGAAAATGAACAACCCTGGCTCAATTCTCAAAGTCCATAGAGCCAGAGTGTCACATTCTCATTTACAACTGCGACCTGGCCAAGATAAAGCAAAGCAGTGCGATAAAAACAACAACACAGAGTTACATATGGGGTAAACAAAACATAAAGTCAAAAATACAAAGAGAAAATATATATACAGTGTGTGCAAATGTAGTAAGTTATGGAGGTAAGGCAATAAATAGGCCATAGTGCAAAATAGTTAAAATTTCGTATTAACACTGGAATGATAGATGTGCAAAAGATGATGTGCAAATAGAGATACTGCGGTGCAAAATAAATGATATAGGGATGAGGTAGTTGGGTGGGCTAATTTCAGATTGGCTGTGTACAGGTGCAGTGATCGGTAAGCTGCTCTGACAACTGACGCTTAAAGTTAGTGAGGGAGATAAGAGTCTCCAGCTTCAGAGATTTTTGCAGTTCGTTCCAGTCATTGGCAGCAGAGAACTGGAAGGAATGGCGGCCAAAGGAGGTGTTGGCTTTGGGGATGACCAGTGAGATATACCTGCTGGAGCGCAGACTATGGGTGGGTGCTGCTATGGTGACCAGTGAGCTAAGGTAAGACGGGGATTTGCCTAGCAGTGATTTATAGATGACCTGGAGTCAGTGGGCTTGGCGACGAATATGTAGTGAGGGCCAGCCAACAAGAGCGTACAGGTCACAATGGTGGGTAGTATAGGGGGCTTTGGTGACAAAACGGATGGCACTGTGATAGACTACATCCAATTTGCTGAGTAGAGTGTTGGAGGCTATTTTGTAAATGACATCGCCGAAGTCAAGGATCGGTAGGATAGTCAGTTTTACGAGGGCATGTTTGGCAGCATGAGTGAAGGAGGCTTTGTTGCGAAATAGGAAGCCGATTCTAGATCTAACTTTTGATTGGAGATGCTTAATGTGAGCCTGGAAGGAGAGTTTACAGTCTAACCAGACACCTAGGTATTTGTAGTTGTCCACATACTCTAGGTCAGACCCGTCGAGAGTAGTGATTCTAGTCGGGTGGGCGGGTGCAAGCAGCGTTCGGTTGAAGAGCATGCATTTAGTTTTACTAGTGTTTAAGAGCAGTTGGAGGCTACGGAAGGAATGTTGTATGGCGTTGAAGCTCGTTTGGAGGTTTGTTAACACAGTGTCCAATGAAGGGCCAGATGTATACAAAATGGTGTCGTCCGCATAAGAGGTGGATCCGAGCGTCACCAGCAGCAAGAGCGACATCATTGATGTACACAGAGAATAGAGTCGGCCCGAGAATTGAACCCTGTGGCACCCCCATAGAGAAGGCCAGAGGTCCAGACAACAGGCCCTCCGAATTGACACATTGAACTCTATCTGAGAAGTAGTTGGTGAACCAGGCGAGGCAGTCATTAGAGAAACCAAGGCTATTTAGACTGCCAATAAGAATGCGGTGGTTGACAGAGTCCAAAGCCTTGGCCAGGTCGATGAAGACGGCTGCGCAGTACTGTCTTTTATCGATCGTGGTTATAATATCGTTTAGGACCTTGAGCGTGGCTGAGGTGCACCCATGACCAGCTCGGAAACCAGATTGCATAGCGGAGAAGGTACGGTGGGATTCGAAATGGTTGGTGATCTGTTTGTTAACTTGGCTTTCAAATACTTTCGAAAGGCAGGGCAGGATGGATATAGGTCTGTAACAGTTTGGATCTAGAGTGTCACCCCCTTTGAGGAGGTGGATGACCGCGGCAGCTTTCCAATCTCTGGGGATCTCAGACGTTACGAAAGAGAGGTTGAACAGGCTAGTAATAGGGGTTGCGACAATTTCGGCGGCTAATTTTAGAAAGAAAGGGTCCAGATTGTCTAGCCCAGCTGATTTGTAGGGGTCCAGATTTTTCAGCTCTTTCAGAACATCAGCTGTCTGAATGTGTGTAAAGGAGAAGCGGGGGGGGCATGGGCAAGTTGCAGCAGAGGGTGCAGAGCTGGTGGCCGGGGTAGTGGTAGCCAGGTGGAAAGCATGGCCAGCCGTAGCAAAATGCTTGTTGAAATTCTCGATTATTGTAGATTTATCTGTGGTTACAGTGTCTCCTAGCCTCAGTGCACTGGGCAGTTGGGAGGAGGTGCTCTTATTTTCCATGGACTTTACAGTGTCCCAAAACGTTTTGGAGTTAGTGCTACAGGATGCAAATTTCTGTTTGAAAAAGCTAGCCTTTGCTTTCCTAACTGATTGTGTATATTGGTTCCTGACTTCCCTGAAAAGTTGTATATCGCGGGGGTTGTTCGATGCTAATGCAGTACGCCACAGGATGTTTTTGTGCTGGTCAAGGGCAGTCAAGTCTGAGGGGAACCAGGGGCTATATCTGTTCTTAGATCTGAATTTTTTGAATGGGGCATGCTTATTTAAGATTGAAAGGAAAGCACTTTTAAAGAACAACCAGGCATCCTCTACTGAGGGAATGAGGTCAATATCCATCCAGGATACCCGGGCCAGGTCAATTAGAAAGGCCTGCTCGCTAAAGTGTTTTAAGGAGCGTTTGACAGTGATGAGGGGTGGTCGTTTGACCGCGGACCCATTACAGACGCAGGCAATAAGGCAGTGATCGCTGAGATCCTGGTTGAAGACAGCGGAGGTGTATTTAGATTTAGTTTACAGATTTAGGGTTGTACCTGGTAGGTTCGTTGATAATTTGTGTGAGATTGAGGGCATCTAGTTTAGATTGTTGGTTGGCCGGGGTGTTAAGCATATCCCAGTTTAGGTCACCAAGCGGTACGAACTCTGAGGATAGATGGGGGACATGATTCTGTACAACGGGAGATGTAACTTTTCGAGTAGCGGATCGGCACAATATACTGTATCTCTACTCAGTCAGACAACGTCTAATCCCCTCCCACTGGACACTGCTTCCAGTAACCTTTGGTAACATAAGAACCGGCACACTGTGTTTACTCACCTGAGGAACTGGGAAACATGTTTACAGAAGTAAAACACCACAAGGGAAAAGAGAAATGAAAGGCGCTAACAAGAATCAGGGAGGAAACGTTGTTTACTTGAAACAATCGATTTCAGAATAGTAGTCTATAACATAAACAAGTGTCTTAATTTAGCCAAACACTATCCCAAATTTGAACCTATGACCTACGCATCCATGTTTAATACCTAAAACTGTTGCCGAAGTGGGGTCAGGTTTGAGATGTGAAACAAAAAGTGTCTGCTCACTTTGCAGGTCCAAAGTGTGATATTTATTTGAGACATGAACCCCTCTATCCCTCAGGGATTTCAACAACTGATCATCTGTGAATCCTGTTCTGGGTAGAGTTTTACCTGGTTACCCTTTGGTTCATCAGGCACTGCTGCAGCGTGTCGGCCAGTCTCTGGTGCACCAGGGAGTAACGAATGAAAGCCCTGCCTTTCCCCAGAGAAGTCTTCAGCTGGAAGGGGAAATTAAAGGACATATTCACAGTGCCGTACAGCAAATATATGTGATAGCTGTTCATCTGCAGCACCAATGAGGCCTTAAATTAGCGTACAGTGCTTTCGGAAAGTATTCAGATCCCTTGACTTTTTCAACATTTTGTTACGTTACAGCCTTATTCTAAAATTGATGAAATTGTTTTTTTCACCTCATCAATCTACACACAATACCCCATAATGACAAAGCAAAAACAGATTTTTAGACATTTTTGCTAATTTATTAAACATAGAAAACTAAAATATGACATTTACATAAGTATTTAGACCCTTTACTCAGTACTTTATTGAAGCATCTTTGGCAGCGATTACAGCCTCAAGTCTTCTTGAGTTTCTCCCATTCTTCTCTGCAGATCCTCTCAAACTCTGTCAGGTTGGATGGGGAGAATGCTGCACAGCTATTTTCAGGTCTCTCCAGAGATGTTCGATCAGGTTCAAGTCCGGGCTCTGGCTGGGCCACACAAGGACATTCAGAGGCTTGCACAGAAGCCACTCCTGCATTGTCTTGGCAGTGTGCTTAGGGTCGTTGTCCTGTTGGAAGGTGAATCTTCTCCCCAGTCTGAGGTCCTGAGCGCTCTGGAGCAGGTTTTCATCAAGGATCTCTCTGTACTTTGCACTGTTCATATTTCCCTCAATCCTGACTAGTCTCCCAGTCCCTGCCGCTGAAAAACATCCCCACAGCTTGATGCTGCCACCACCATGCTTCACCGTAGGGATGGTGCAAGGTTTCCTCCAGACGTGACGCTTGGCATCAGGCCAAAGAGTTCAATCTTGGTTTCATCAGACCAGAGAATCTTGTTTCTCATGGTCTGAGAGTCTTTAGGTGCCTTTTGGCAAACTCCAAGTGGTCTGTCATGTGCATTTTACTGAGGAGTGGCTTCCGTCTGGCCACTCTACCATAAAGGCCTGATTGGTGGAGTGCTGCAGAGATGGTTGTCCTTCTGGAAGGTTGTCCCATCTCCACAGAGGAACTCTAGAGCTCTGTCAGAGTGAAAATCAGGTTCTTGGTCACCTCCCTGACCAAGGCCCTTCTCCCCTAATTTCTCAGTTTGGCCAGCAGGCGGCAAGTTCTAGGAAGTCTCTTGGTGGTTCCAAACTTATTCCATTTAAGAATGATGGAGGCCACTGTGTTCTTCGGGACCTTCAATGCTGCGGAAATCTTTTGGTACCCTTCCCCAGATCTGTGCCTCGACACCATCCTGTCTCGGAGCTCTAAGGACAATTCCTTAGACCTCATGGCTTGGTTTTCGCTCTGACATGCACTGTCAACTGTGGGACCTTATATAGACAGGTGTGCGCCTTTCCAAATCATGTCCAATCAATTGAATTTACCACAGGTGGACTCCAATAAAGTTGTAGAAACATCTCAAGGATGATCAATGGAAACAGGATGCACCTGAGCTCATTTTCGAGTCTCATAGCAAAGGGTGTGAATACTTATGTAAATAAGGTATTTATTGTATTTTATTTTATTTGTTTTTATCGCAAAAATGTCTAAGAACCTGTTTTCGCTTTGTCATTATGGGGTAAAGTGAGTAGATTGCTGAGGAAATGTTTTTATGTAATCCATTTTAGAATAAGGCTATAACAAAATATAGAAAAAGTCAAGGTGTCTGAATACTTTCTGAAGGCACTGTATGTGCTTCCTGAATGTGTCCATTAAAAGGATAGTTAAAATCAACATTTTCATTCCTATAATCAATCATCCATATTCAACGACATCTGTTGTGTAGATCCTGTTAACAAAGATTATTTGTTTTTCATGGCTAGTATCCACTACCCAGCAGAATGCCAAATTCCTCCATGCCATTATAACTACTTATCAGTGAGACAGACAATCTACGTTAATAATGCAATCCATAACAGCTGCAATGTCAGGAGTATTATCCCTTTAAATCACAACAGGGATCACCGTTGTGAAATATGCGTCAAAGCAGATTTGGTAGATCATTTGTAGATGAAGTTAATTTGTTCCTTCGTTATTTCACATTTGGTGGCACAATAAGACCCAAAACTGCAATGGTATCCATAACTTGAGATAGAGGGTGCACAGAAATGGTGACAGTAGTGTTTAAAAAGGTGGTAAAAAGCTCTAAAGATAGAATGTCATTACATATGAATTACTACTATACATTGTGTAATAACAGTTAATGATCCTTATAATTGACTTTTAAAAAGTGCTGAACTCTATATACCTCTGGGATGGATTTGACAAAGCGGATACCATCGTTGGCTCCTTTGATCTTGGCCAGACAGTCGCTGAAATAATCCCAGTAGTCTTTTCTGGTGCCAAGAAATGTCGTCTTCTCCTTCTGGTCAAACTGAATAGCGTAGATGACGTGTTAGCGACAAATTGTATATGACCTACTTTATAGAGATGTGAACAATGCCATATTGGTGAGCATGCCAGGTTGGCCTTGATTTGACTTGGACTCTGTAAGGTGGTTTCCTGGACACATATTAAACCTAATCCTGGACTAAAAAGCGTGATGTTTAATCTGTGTCTGGGGAAAAAAACAGATTGTTCTATAGAAGATTGTTCTATACATTGTATTGATTCATTAACCAGTCCTGGATGTTGCTTTGGGGCCTTTGACCCGACTGAAGAACGGGAAAAAACTGTTCGTACTATCTCACTGTCTATGAACATTGAGGGACTCACCTGTAGAAGGTACTCCAGTTTGTAGGAGAATTTCTGCAGATTGGGACTATCATCTGTGATTGGCTCCCCGTTCTCCCTGTACTCTTTAGTGAGCTCAGCAACAGCATCTGTGGTTCAGAGAGAGAGAGCGAGAGAGAGAGAGCGAGAGAGCGAGGATGAGAGAGAGAGAGAGAGACAGAGAGAGAGAGAGAGAGGACGAGAGAGAGAGAGAGAGGGATAGAGAGAGAGAGAGAGAGAGAGAGCGAGCGAGAGAGAGAGCGAGAGAGAGACGAGAGATATAGAACGAGAGAGAGATATAGAGAGAGAGAGAGAAGAGAAGATAGAGATAGGAGAAAAGAGATACTAGAGGCGAGGACTATTAGAAAAAGAGATAGAGGACGAGGATAGAGACGATGAAATATGATAGGATGCGAGAGACTAGAGATATACGAGATAGAGATGATATATTGAACTACTGATCCTATATTCATATACATTGACATATCATATATCACTCGAGATCTATAAATCTATTACTATATTATACTATATAATACTCTGAGATAACGATATATATTTCCTCTCTATTTTATTTCGTCTTCGTTAGCTATACTCTATTCTTATACTTATTCTTCTTGTACTTTTCTCTATTTATCCACTTTGCTTTAGATATCTTCCCTCTATCTCTCTCTCTTTCCTTCCTCTCTCTTCTCTCTCTTCTCCCCTCCTCTCTATCTCCTCTCTCTCTCTCTCGCTTACTCTCTCCTCCTCTCTCTTATCTCTCTCGTACTTGCTCTCTCTCTCGTCTCTCTCCTCCTCTCTCTACTGCTTTCGCTCTCTTCTTTCTCTCTCTTTTATGCTCGCATATCTCTCTCTCCTCTCCTATCTCCTCTCTCTCATTCCTCGCGCTTACTCTCTCTCTCTCTCTATCTCCTTCTATCTCTCTCTGCTCTCTTTCTCCTCTCTCTCTCTCTCTCTCTCTCTCCTTCTCTCCTCTCTCTCTCTCTTCGTCTCTCTTCCTCTCTCTCTCTCTCTCCCCTCTCCTCCTTCTCTCTTCTCTCCCTTCTCTCTCTCTCTCTCTCTCTCTCTCTGCTCCGGTCTCTCTCTCTCGCTCTTCTCTCTCTCCTCTCTCTCTCCTCTCTCTCTCTCTCTCTCTCCTCTCTTCCTCTCCTCTCCTCTCTCTCATACGTCTCTTCTCTCTGCTCTTCCCTTCTCCTCTCTCTCTTGCTGCCTCTCTTCTTTACTTCTCTCTTCTTCTACTCAGTGTACTAGGATCGATCACCTCATATCTGAGAAGAAGGCGAGAACACACTTCAGAAAGGCATACAAATACATGTACTTCACACAAGCATTCCCCTCACTCAGACCAGCTGACAGGAACTGAGAGTTTCTACGACACTAGCTACATGCCCTTTACCTGTTGAGAGAAACACATTGCTGTGATTTGTCCCTGACCTGGTAGCCTCTTTCTCTTGAACTAAATGGGAAAAAAACTCAAATCAATCTAGGTCAATAGGCACGGTATCTGTGGAACGTTTTGAGTGGGCACAGAAACCCTGGAACTTCTAGAAACCATTACAATGCACCAAACATACACACAGTCATATGTAATATCCTCACAGAGCCCTGGATACATTTAAATATACAGGTCAAAACAGAGTTGAAAGCCCAGTATATCCACCCAGGCATGTCTCCTCAATCCCTACCTACAACCTCTTCCTCCAAACAGACATCCCCCAGTCCCCTTTCACCTTCCTCACATGTCCCAGCTCAGTACAATTACCCACTTGCCTCTCATCCAGCGTAAAAACAGGAAAGACACCTGCGACGGGTGCACCCTGAGGCTAATCACCCCCTCTATCTCTCGCTGCATGCTGACAGGGCCTCTCTGTCGCCCCAGCCACACCCTGGGGGGCACACCCCGGGGGCTGGGGGAGAGGGTCGGCTCCATGATGTCCTTCCAATGAGGAGACGGGACAACCAATGTGTGGAAAGAAATGCTGTTGGGCTTGTAACCAAGACCAAGCCAGTCACATCTAGGCCACTGCAACCCCTCTGTCACTTTCTCTACCTCTGTGATCCTACTCTCTTTCTATCTTTCTTTTACAGTGGCGGTCTACCCCTGTAACATTCACACAGGCCCGGACACACTCGTTGTTACAAAGGGACTGACACGCGAGAAGTCACACGCAGTCACGCACACAAACACACAATGGCAGTGTACCATGCAGATCTCTGATAATCCTCTGAAGCTGGCTCTCCCCCACAGCCACACCGGCAGCCATGGTCCGACAGGCTCTATGGCAACCAGGTCACTGGGTGATACACAGTCTGCTGAATCAGAGAATCAGATGGACAGTCAGGAACAAAAGACAATTATGTACTGACACACACACACGGGTGGGGGGGACTGGGACCAAAAATCTGCCCCCCATTATTAGCCACATAATGATAATTTTGCGGGGGAAAAAACAAGTTAGATAGTCCCACTGGGCTAAAAATGGACCAGCCCTACATCACAGTACTACATCCCTTTCACATTCTGTCTGTCTGTCATTCACTCACTATATCACACACACCCACTCACACACACACACACACATACAGTCAAACACACACACACACACACACATACAGTCAAACACACACACACACACACTTTCATTACACATTTCTAAGCACCACTGGAGACCATGCAGTGTTTCCCAACTTGTGGTTTGAACTCCACCTAGGTTGTGGCTAAAAATGAGAAATATTTATGCTGGTGCATAAGCCTGTCAGCTCAGTGTTGGCTCAACACAAGACAAGTCTGAGAAAGAAAGAATTAGATGTACTTTTAGGTTGTGAGTTTTTCTATGAGCTCCACATGGAACTCACTTTTAGAATATGGTGCTCTTGGCTGTCTGGTTGCATAGAGATCACCCTCTGCGAGGCCAGAACAACTGGATGCATCTGCTTTTCATGGGAAATGGAAAGAGAGCCTGTGACGCGCCTACCGCTTTTGGACGTTAACAACAAAGACAGTACAGTCTAAAAGATAGGCAGAAACTGCTTCTCCAATAGAAATCCCTGATTACACTTGTAGGCGATGTCATGGCGACGTTGGCTAGCTTAGCTCATGCGTAGAAATATGTCAGCGGGTCTAATGGTCATCTCGCACCGAACTGAGCATGTGGAGGCCATCAAATCAAAGACACTTCTTCGATATAAAGTTGTTTTGAACAAAAATGAAGTTTTTCACTTTCACAAGGTTGGAGTATTAACATGTTCAACTAGTTAAGACATTGGCTCGAATCTAGGTTGTGCCTTTACATTTCGAGAAAATGTACTAAGATTTTTCACTTCTCCCTTTGACTTCTCAAACCCCGGCCTGGTCTGCTTGGTCTGTTTCGCAAGTCAGTTTCGCAAGTCTCGCCTCTGGTTTTAGAAACTCTGTATTAACAAGGCGACACTAGGCAACACTCCACCTTAAAATGCTGACCACACCAGCCGCGTTGCGTGTGTGAGCGTTGCTAAATAAATGTACACATACACTCTACGGCATGTACACATACACCACATACAAAAGTATGTCGACACCTGCTCGCCGAACATCTCATTCCAAAATCATGGGCGTTAATATGGAGTAGGGCCCCCCTTTGCTGCTATAACAGCCTCCACTTTTCTGGGAAGGCTTTCCACTAGATGTTGGAACATTGCTGCGGGGACTTGCTTCTATTCAGCCACAAGAGCATTAGTGAGGTAGGGCACTGATGTTGGGCGATTAGGCCTGGCTCGCAGTCGGCGTACCAATTCATCCCAAAGGTGTTCGATGGGGTTGAGGTCAGGGCTATGTGCAGGCCAGTCAAGTTCTTCCACACCAATCTCGACAGACTATTTCTGTATAGACCTCGCTTAGTGCACGGGGGCATTTTAATGCTGAAACAGGAAAGGGCCTTCCCCAAACTGTTGCCACAAGGTTGGAAGCACAGAATAATCTAGAATGTCATTGTATGCTGTAGCGTTAAGATTTCCCTTTACTGGAACTAAGGGGCCTAGGCCGAACCATGAAAAACAGCCCCAGACCATTATTCCTCCTCTACCAAACTTTACAGTTGGCACTATGCATTGGGGCAGGTAAAATAACAACCCAATGTTTACATCCCAGGACAAATTAGCTAGCAACAGCAAGCTAGCTAGCTAAATGTCCATGAATGTTTCATGTGTTTTGACCTGTCCCCAAATTAATATAGTTGGTTCAGAGTTCTTTTTGATATTTCAACCTGCATGTCATGATCTCATCTGGTGTGGATGGACAAAATCAATATGTACGCATGCGGACGCATGTGCGTGCCCAGTGTAGTCAGCATGTAACTCCTCCTCCTCCACATTTACTGGATTGATTCACCAGTGCAGAAGAGAACCTTCCCCAACTGATTTTTTCTCTTGTCAGGGCCATAAAAAATGAAACGCTGCTCAGGCTTTTCTTTTATGCCAGCTACATTACATGCTGACTAGACTGGGCACGCGCATCGCGCGCATGTTGATTTTGTCCATCCACACCAGACGCAATCTGGACACGCAGGTTGAAATATCAAAAAGAACTCTGGACCAACTATATTAATTTGGGGACAGGTCAAAACGCATGAAACATTCATGGAATTTAGCTAGCTAGCTTGATGTTGCTAGCTAATTTGTCCTGGGATATAAACATTGCGTTGTTATTTTACCTGAAATGCACAAGGTCCTTTTTTTTCTGGATCTTTGTAGAATTCTGACACTTTGAGTCACACAAAATCGTGTGTTCTCTACTCCGACGATTAATCCACAGATAAAAGGGGAAATCTAGTTTGTTTCTAGTAATCTCTCCTTCTTCAGTCTTTTTCTTCTTCTGTGGACTTTATATGGTGGTTGGCAACCAACTTTAAGGTGCATTACCACCACCAACTGGACTGGAGTGTGGACCTCAGTTCATCTTTCAATTACCCACATGGTTATATGCTCCTAATGAGGAGATGGGAGAGGTGGGACCCTTTAACATGTCAAGCATCAAAAATAGAATAAAATTCTATTTTAGCGCCTGGCTATACAGACGCTTGTTGACGCGCGAGAGCAGTTTGGATTCAATGATTGAATAACATGTATGTGTACATTTATTTTGCAATGCTATAGCACGCAACACGGACGGTGTGGTCAGCATGTTAGGTTACATAGAGATCATATTTAACACAGCAGCCATGGCCTCACCTCCACACCTATCATTTACTGCACTGAGAGTTTTGCTTAGTCTTATCTATGATAAGTGAAGTGGATATTATTAGGTTGGCACTCAGGCTACAAAGGCAAATATGTCTATAAAATATGCAGGCAGACAGTTAGGCATACAGCAAATTCTAAAATACTGTATCACACTTCTTAATTCAGCTGTGACTGTCTTTTTCTTTGGTTCTTCCTTTCTTATTTATTAACGTTATTTCTCTCTCTATCTTAGCCTAGTAAAGCAGTTTAACGTGATGGGTGCAAATGTGCACAGTATTATATATTGTGTATGTCTGTGTTTAAATTGCATAACGTTAGTTGTATCTTCTGAGTGGAACAGATTTTGTTGTGGCTGAAACAAGATTGCGGTCATTGCAAACTGTTGCGTAAGGACAAGGTAATGTCTGACTATCAATCCCCGGAAGGCGAAAACATTGTGCACTTGTCCTTTAAACATTTTACTTGTCGCTGAAAGTAGATTATGTTCGCACACAACAAGGTTTCAAACATGAGAAAGTCCATCGATCGATTGCAATACGTGAGAGACTAACAAAGCTCCACTCAGACCCCGATATTGCCGAAAGAGGAAGTGGGGAAGTGTAAACAAAGTGAAACTATTAATACATTGTATCGTTTCCTAATTGTTGGATAAGGGAAACCGATTACATCTGGGCGCGGACTTATTATGGCTTTTATTTAAAAAGGACAAGCTGTCCAAACGTAAAAACAATATAGACTGTACTTAATTCGTAATAGCTGATCAAATTAAAACATGAATTGCCAAAACATTTGACTCTAGACTACATTATGTTGCCGACACATTTGACTAAATCCCTAAATCAAATGGGGAGTAAATGGGCTGGTAGCTATGAAAATGTAAATGTAAATGTCAACATTGCTAATAATGTTGTTATTATCTGACTATATCCAGCCTGTCCTTGGCATGCATATAGAACTAAATCAGTTACTTCATTAGAAGTGAATGTACATAAAACACATTTAAATTAATTTAAACAAATAGACATAGATCATTTAACAAAGAAAACAACTTAAACGTACGTTAAACTGCGTGATCCATGAAAATCCTGATACTTTACAGCCACATACAATCATGCGATGTATGGGGCGGCAACAATAACTGGATTGACAAGTAGGTCAACCACTTACAATGCGAGAATGAGGACAAGGCAGGGTTTACCCTAGTTACCACAGCCGCAAAGTCGAAATTGGCTATAGGCCTATCGATAATTTTGTTTGCTTTTTGCGCTTAATTTAAGGTTACAGTTAGGCATAAATTTAGCAGTGTGGTTAAGGTTAGGTTTGAGGTTAGGGATAGGTTTAAAATCAGATTTTAAGAAGATACATTGTAGAAATGGGCGGGGTTTATGACTTTGTGGCTGGGGTAACTAGGGTTGACCCATAGGCAGAGGACTCGGTATGTATAGTTTGGTTGTAGAGTATTACGAGGTAAACTGTAAAATCGTGTGACTAATGTACGACTGGTTTATTTCTCAGGACTACCACACCCCACGCAGGCATGATTTGTAAGAAAATAGGCTTTAAGCCAGAGCGGCACAGGCAAAGCGAAAGGGTTTATTCCACCCAACATCTGTCCACGAAAATAGGACCACGAAGTGGGTTGCAACCTGGTCTCAGAGCATTTCGTATTATTCTATACGTAAATCCGTGACACTCCATTTATACTGAACAAAAATATAAAGCAACATGTAAAGTGTTGGTCCCATGTTTCATGAGCTGAAATAAAAGATCCCAGAAATGTTCCATATGCACAAAAAGCTTATTTCTCTCATTTTACATTCACATTTACCTCATTTAGCAGACGCTCTTATCCAGAGCGACTTACAAATTGGTGCATTCAACTTCTCATAGCAAGTGGGACAACCACTTTTTTCTTCTTTTTTTTATGGGGGGAAGGATTACTTTATACTATTCCAGGTATTCTTTAAAGAGGTAGGGTTTCAAGTGTCTCCGGAAGGTGGTCAGTGACTCCGCTGTCCTGGCGTCGTGGGGGAGCTTGTTCCACCATTGGGGTGCCAGAGCAGCAAATAGCTTTGACTGGGCTGAGCGGGAACTGTGCTTCTGTAGAGGTAGGGGAGCTAGCAGGCCAGAGGTGGATGAACGTAGTGCCCTCATTTGGGTGTAGGGTCTGACCAGAGCCTGAAGGTAAGGAGGTGCCGTTCCCCTCACAGCTCCGTAGGCAAGCACCATGGTCTTGTAGTAGATGCGAGCCTCAACTGGAAGCCAGTGGAGTGTGTGGAGGAGCGGGGTGACATGAGAGAACTTGGGAAGGTCGAACACCAGACGGGCTGCAGCGTTCTGGATAAGTTGTAGAGGTTTAATGGCACAGGCAGGGAGCCCAGCCAACAGCGAGTTGCAGTAATCCAGACGGGAGATGACAAGTGCCTGGATTAGGACCTGTGCCGCTTTCTGTGTAAGGTAGGGTCGTACTCTGCGAATGTTGTAGAGCATGAACCTGCAGGATCGGGTCACCGCTTTGATGTTAGCGGAGAACGACAGGGTGTTGTCCAGGGTCACGCCAAGGCTCTTTGCACTCTGGGAGGAGGACACAATGGAGTTGTCAACCGTGAGGGCGAGATCATGGAGCGGGCAGTCCTTCCCCAGGAGGAAGAGCAGCTCCGTCTTGCCGAGGTTCAGCTTGAGGTGGTGATCCGACATCCACACTGATATGTCTGCCAGACATGCAGAGATGCAATTCGCCACCTGGTTATCAGAAGGGGGAAAGGATCAAATGAATTGTGTGTCATCTGCGTAGCAATGATAGGAGAGACCATGTGAGGATATGACAGAGCCCAGTGACTTGGTGTATAGAGAGAATAGGAGAGGGCCTAGAACTGAGCCCTGGGGGACACCAGTGGTGAGAGCACGTGGTGCGGAGACAGATTCTCACCACGCCACCTGGTAGGAGTGACCTGTCAGGTAGGACGCAATCCAAGAATGAGCAGCGCCGGAGATGCCCAACTCGGAGAGGGTGTAGAGGAGGATCTGATGGTTCACAGTATCAAAGGCAGCGGATAGGTCTAGAAGGATAAGAGCAGAGGAGAGAGAGTTAGCTTTAGCAGTGCGGAGAGCCTCCGTGACACAGAGAAGAGCAGTCTCAGTTGAATGACCAGTCTTGAAACCTGACTGGTTTGGATCAAGAAGGTCATTCTGAGAGAGGTGGCAGGAGAGTTGGCTAGAGAAGGCACGCTCAAGAGTTTTGGAGAGAAAAGAAAGAAGGGATACTGGTCTGTAGTTGTTGACATCGGAGGGATCGAGTGTAGGTTTTTTGAGGAGGGGTGCAACTCTCGCTCTCTTGAAGACGGAAGGGACATGGCCAGCGGTCAAGGATGAGTTGATGAGCGAGGTGAGGTAAGGGAGAAGGTCTCCGGAAATGGTCTGGAGAAGAGAGGAGGGGATAGGGTCAAGCGGGCAGGTTGTTTGGCGGCCGGCCGTCACAAGTCGCAAGATTTCATTTGGAGAGAGAGGGGAGAAAGAAGTCAAAGCATAGGGTAGGGCAGTGTGAGCAGGACCAGCGGTGTCATTTGACTTAATAAATGAGGATCGGATGTCGTCAACCTTCTTTTCAAAATGGTTGACGAAGTCATCCACAGAGAGGGAGGAGGGAGGGGGAGGAGGAGGAGGATTCAGCAGGGAGGAGAAGGTGGCAAAGAGCTTCCTAGGGTTAGAGGCAGAGGCTTGAAATTTAGAGTGGTAGAAAGTGGCTTTAGCAGCGGAACAGAGGAAGAGAATGTAGAGAGGAGGGAGTGAAAAGATGACAGGTCCGCAGGGAGTTTAGTTTTCCTCCATTTCCGCTCGGCTGCCCGGAGCCCTGTTCTGTGAGCTCGCAATGAGTCGTCAAGCCACGGAGCAGGAGGGGAGGACCGAGCCGGCCGGGAGGATAGGGGACATAGAGTCAAAAGATGCAGAAAGGGAGGAGAGGAGGGTTGAGGAGGCAGAATCAGGAGATCGGAGGGAGAAGGATTTAGCAGAGGGAATAGATGATAGGATGGAAGAGGAGAGAGTAGCGGGAGAGAGAGAGCGAAGGTTGCGACGGCACATTACCATCTAAATAGGGGCAGAGTGAGTAGTGTTGGAGGAGAGCGAGAGAGAAAAGGATACAAAGTAGTGGTCGGAGACTTGGAGGGGAGTTGCAGTGAGATTAGTAGAAGAACAGCATCTAGTAAAGATGAGGTCAAGCGTATTGCCTGCCTTGTGAGTAGGGGGAGACGGTGAGAGGGTGAGGTCAAAAGAGGAAAGGAGTGGAAAGAAGGAGGCAGAGAGAAATGAGTCAAAGGCAGACGTAGGGAGGTTAAAGTCACCCAGAAAGTCACACAACACAATTCAACAGTCTCAAGTTTTGAGGGAGCGTGTAATTGGCATGTTGACTGCAGGAATGTCCACCAGAGCGGATGCCAGATAATTTAATGTTAATTTCTCTACAATAAGCCGCCTCCAACGTTGTTTTAGAAAATTTGGCTTTACGTCCAACCGGCCTCACAACCGCAGACCACGTGTAACCATGGCAGCCCAGGACCTCCACATCCAGCTTCTTCAGCTGTGGGATCATATGAGACCAACCACCTGGACAGCTGATGAAACTGAGGAGTATTTCTGTCTGAATAAAGCCTTTTTGTGGGGAAAAACTAATTCTGATTGGCTGGGCCTGGCTCCACAGTGGGTGTGAAATCCATAACTTAGGGCCTAATGAATTTATTTCAATTGACTGATTTCCTTACATGAACTGTAACAGTACAATCGTTGAAATTGTTGCATGTTGCGTTTATATTTTTGTTCAGTGTAGTGTGATATGTTCGTTTTCGTATGGTTACATAAGACAGATGGTTACACGAGGCACAAAAATGAAAGTAGGGTGGTTGGTTGGGTGAGCGTATAACGTAAATGTCTAACAACCCAAAGGTTGCGAGTTTGAATCTCATCATGGACAACTTTAGCATTTTAGCTAATTAGCAACTTTTCAACTACTTACTATTTTTTAGCTACTTTGCAACTACTTAGGATGTTAGCTCAGTCTGAGAGCTGTTGAGGGACTGGTACATCCAGTGAGGTGAGAGGTCACACATGGTTTAGATGGTAAATATTTGTCAACATAGCGGTTCATCTCGTAAGCAAAAGTGAATATGTTCCATCATCTATGTTAATTTACATTAGTGCAAATTGTCCATGTATTTTCTCGCCCCTTTTGGCTGTATGAAAGTTTATTTCCCCTCAGGCACACACATTTGTTCTTTGTTATTAAGAAAGTAATTTGTGTAGAATGTACCTTTCCCCACATCTCTTTACATTGCTTATGCAGTTGTCAGAGCAGCTTACCAATCACTGCACCTGTACACAGCCCATCTGTAATTAGCCCACACAACTACCTCATCCCTATATTGTTATTTATTTTGCTCATTTGCACCCCAGTATCTCTATTTGCACATCATCTTCTGCACATCTATCACTCCAGTGTTAATACTAAATTGTAATTATTTTGCACTATGGCCTATTTATTGCCTTACCTCCATAACTTACTACATTTGCACACACTGTATATAGATTTACTATTGTGTTATTGACTGTATGTTTTGTTTATCCCATGTGTAACTCTGTGTTGTTGTTGTTTTTATCGCACTGCTTTGCTTTATCTTGGCCAGGTCGCAGTTGTAAATGAGAACTTGTTCTCAACTAGCCTACCTGGTTAAATAAAGGTTAAATAAAAATATTCGGTGGCCTGATTGCGTCCAGACTGTCAAATACCGAACACAACACCATCCGGGGAGATCTGAACCTAATGCGAGCACAATGTGACTTTTGTGTATCCAGACATAATGCAGCTTGGAGTGATCGGATGACAGAAGTCACATTTAAGCACCGGGTGTAACCGAGGCCACTGTAGCCTACCATGGGTGGTATTTACCACTGTAGCCTACCATGGGGTGGTGTTTACCACTGTAGCCTACCATGGGGGGTGTTTACCACTGTAGCCTACCATGGGGTGGTGTTTACCACTGTAGCCTACCATGGGGTGGTGTTTACCACTGTAGCCTACCATGGGGGGTGTTTACCACTGTAGCCTACCATGGGGGGTG